TTTCTTCTCAACCTTAGACCACTGAACTTCTCCATTTTCTTTTCGACTCCACTTTCAACTTTCCTTTCTTCTCCTATTCTTCATCCCAATGGGCAGCCAAAAGACAGCAACCAAAACCGGCGCACGAAAGCGCATGGTTAGTGGTTGTTCAAACTAAACTGAAAACTCTTTGCCTAAACTAAGCATTCCTTGTCCGGTTTCTCCACCGGACTCAAGCAATGCGATATAGACAGTAATGTGCGAACATCGTTAGTCTATATCTATCCTGTTTTCCCAATCACCAAGTTTATCTGTCGTAAGGCACAAATGGTCGAACCGCTGCAGAATACACAGACAGCTAGATGTCGCGGCGACGCCACTAATGTCTCAATTTGACCTAAGCCAACCGAGCCTTCTGTATGCGAGCCGACACTTCATCTGTGACACGTCCACCAGGTGAAGCATAGCTACCCAAATAACAAGATTTCGTCTATTTCGAATCAACGTGAATATAACTACATGTCAATAGTTTCCAGTGGAATTTTTCGTCAAAATCGACCACACAATTGTAAACCGAATAAAAGCAAATGCAACTTTATTATGATTATTAACCGCTGACTCGTGTAATAAGAGGTGAGGTGAGGTTGCGCGCGAACAGGAGGCGTAATGACAGCAGACCGATGGGTGGGTTGGGGGATAATTGAAGAGAAGAACAACACGCACAAACAACCCCTCGACCGGTTAACCAGACAGTAATCAAGTCGGAACGAACTTGTGCAACTTCTCGTTAGCCAAATGTCGGAGTTGAAATAACCAGCTGTGGTCAACCGACTTACTCTGATTCAGTCGATGCTGATGATCGATGTGAGTGCGGCCTGTAGCACGGGAATAGAGGTCCCGTGAAACCCAAGAGAAAATTGGGAAAAGTGTTAGCAGTCCGAATTTATTAGTTCGCATATTTGTGAAAACCCATCTCAAAACTATTGGTCGACTTATGATTAATTCTGCAGCCGCTGATGCGCTGTATTCGAACGACAAAATTACGTAAAAACGAAACGAAAAGTCCTCGCTTCATGAGGTGAATGCTGTCGCATGATGACGGAAGGATGAGAAACACCGGACAGCACCAGGGTATCTGGTTTGAAAATTGCAGTTGAGATGCAATGTGAAGACAACAGGAATATCACATCCTGGACATTTCAGATCACCACTCGGACCAAATAATTGACAAGGTATGTCAAGCGACCTCGATTAAGCAGTCAAATGTGAATTCCGTTGTTGAGTGTCAATGAATTTCATGGATGGTAGAACGCTTAGTCGGACCATCTGATGGAGCGCTGACGAGTATTCTTTCAGTGTGTGGGGGCGGGGGTGCGAGAAACAATCCACTAACAGATCTTGTTACAAAAAGTCCTTGCATGAAAGTGATCACGTCAGATTAAAGTCGTCGGCGAACTATCGTAACAGGAGACTTTCTGTCACCCGCCTCAACATCTCTCTTATTGAGGAATTGCACGATCCAGTTCGTAGACTAACATTCGAGACCACTGAGTACACTTGTTTCATGCTTGATCAATACGAACAATATGACCAGATCGAAGTCAATGATCGAAAATGCGATCGATCGATGGGATACACAGGAAGAACCAAAAAGAACCCGAACCAAGTAGGAAGAACACAATTTCGGGCGAACAATTGTTTTCAATAACTCATAATCATGCCATTACAGTTTATATGGGGGGAAAATCCTAGGGGTTGGGAGGTGAACAATAGAATGTGTATGCGTGTCTGTGTTTGTGCGTGTGTGTGTGTTGCACACCGCATTCTCAAATCTGTGCTTCCGGGGTTTGCAGTTGTGTCACGACGGTCGTATGACGCAGTTCAAGGCTCAGGTTCCCCTTCGTCCTATCCTATCGATGACCAATTCTCCATACCATGCTGTCGCTCAATGGTTGGCCGAAATCCTTGAACCCGAAAGGAAACGATTATCGGCATATGGTGTTAAGGATACCTTCCAATTTATTGAATACGAGATATAGACGTGTCAGATAAGGTGATGCTGTCCATGGATATCACGTCACTTTTCACAAATGTGCCACTAGTGGAAACCATCCAGTTCATCATAAAACATCTTACTGATAACGAAATTAATTTGGAGATACCCACAGCAGTGCTACGCGAACTTCTATTTCGGTGTACATACAACGTGCAATTTCTTTTCAACGGAACGGTTTACCGACAAAAAGACGGAGTAGCAATGGGATCACCACTAGGACCCCTTTTGGCGGATTTTTTCATGGCGATGCTGGAGAATAACCAGCTGAAAGACACCATTACTAGTCTGCATAAATAGTGTCGGTATGTAGACGACATCTTTTGTATAGCTGATTCAAACTGCGATCTGGATCAACTACTAGAAAAGTTCAACTCCGCACACAGGAGGTAGAAGCAGATGATCGAATACCGTTTCTAGATGTACTCCTCATTAGAAGATGTGATGGATCTATACAACGCCGCGTGTACCGTAAGAAAACCCGGAGTGGCCAATACACGAACTTTTACAGTTATGTCTCGATCAAGCTAAAGAGAAACCCGATTTAATGTTTGGTATCTAGAGCTCGAAGAATCTGCTCACAAGAAGTATTGGAAGATGAACTCAAGTTTATCTCCAACGTGCTCAGAAGCAATGGCTATCCCGACCGCTTCATTCAACGAAATATGATGGAACAGGTGCCAAAAGTACACACTGATAGGGTGGAAAAGAAGGACGTGTTCATTAGTCTTCCTTTTAAGGGTGAAGTTGCCGCGGAAACGACTGAATGGAGCGGTAAAAGCCACATTCAACGCCGCGCACCTACGCTGTTCTTTAAAAAGTTCGCCACCGATAACCATACGGAATAAAGAAAAACTACCGACGTTGACCGCTTCAATGATTGTTTACTCGTTCAGATGCGTTTGTGACGCACTCTACGTCGGTCGCACGGCAGTTATTTATTCGCATGAAAGAACACCATCCCCGCTGGCTGAGTCGAGGTGGTTCCGGATCAATCACCAGTGCGATTCTCGTTCACTTGGTAGACACTGGCCATCGTGTTGACCCAAGTGAAGCATTCCGCATTATCTATCAGTTCCCCCCGAACCGGTCCAAATATGTTAGAATGCGTACGTTGACCATAGCCGAGGCCATCTGTATTAAGCACTTGACCCCCCCCCNCCCCCCCCCCTCGAACTATGTGCCAGGAAACGTCTTATCCAAGCACTCTATCTCCCCTGGGTTCGCGAACCCACTCCTCCCCCATGCCTCTTTTCCACATACACAACCATTCTCACACAACAACACCGATCCCTCAGAACTGGGTCACACGACCGTCGTGACACAACTGCAAACCCCGGAAGCACAGATTTGAGAATGCGGTGTGCAACACACACACACGCACAAACACAGACACGCATACACATTCTATTGTTCACCTCCCAACCCCTAGGATTTTCCCCCCATATAAACTGTAATGGCATGATTATGAGTTATTGAAAACAATTGTTCGCCTGAAATTGTGTTCTAAATGCGAGTATGGGCATATTTCGAAATTTGAAACAAGTAAGAAGAATTAGCAAGATACGTAAGTTATCGACACTCTTGTGGGATCGTAAATATTGTGGTCGCGCAATTTAATACCCTCGGTTGAAGAAAAGACGATGTTGATGTTGTGAACTGGAGAGAATGAACCAGTGGAGATTGAGTGGTACAAAATGAGGTCTTAGATACTGCATACGGCTCTTCACCAAGGTCGTGTGATGCACCAACAAAGTTACTCATGCGTAATATTTGGGAGAACAAAACTGAATAAAACACCAGAGAATGCGAGGGTCAATAGACTGTGCGAACCACTGGCAAACAGGTGATAGAGAGCAGCTATTCGTGTGGGAAAATGACAATTAAAAGATACCTTCCATTCGCTTCTTTGGTCGCTCCTCCGCATGGAGCCCCCAACCACCCGCGTCAATTCCACTAGCCTGGGAGCCGTGTAGTTTGACCAACGAATCATCAATGGCACCGTCTGGTCGAGAAAGTCCGTAGACATCGGAACTGCGGCCCGTGTAGGGAGAGTTTTGTAATGTGCTCAAACTTCCTGTAAACAAAAGAGATGAAGGAAAAATTACAGATATAAGATCGTTTAGGGTTATGCACTCGATGAGGACAGTACCTGTATTTAAGGAGTTTTGCCTCAATGACAAGCAAACACGCTATGCTGCGCATAGTATTTAAACGGACACGCCGGATCGCCGTAAAATATTCAGTTAACAGAGACATGATGTCATTTTATGATACAGCTCACCGTTTACGTATCAAAGCATTAATTGTTTGCGCGTTTATTCAAAGGAACAGCGTTCATGTGAGATCCCATCAGATAAGATGAAATAACAACTGTTTTTACATAGTAATAATATACAGTTCTGATTTAAAGGTGAAGGATGAAGGAGATGACAAAAGTTACAAATAGAAATAGGATGTATTTGATAGCCGCTCAAAAGACATTGATAGGAAGAAAATATTCAACGTAGGCTATCAGGCGCAGCTGATAAAGCATCCGATGATACACAGTTAAAAGCTATATTCACATCCAAATCAATTGCATTTTGGACTGAAGAGCTGGAGAAGATTCTTCGATCTCATTGTGCGCGTACTTATTCATCTGTGCGTGGACACCACTGGGTTTGCTTGAACACCGGAATACTTGGGATAACTACGAGCGCCGTCAGTTCGCACCTCTTTGAATAAAATCGGCTTTTAGATGCGATAAGGTCAACGTAAGTAATCAAAGCAGGGAAGCAGGGCATCTCGGTCATAACTGAAGCTACAAGCAGTCAGATTTACAATCCTTGTATGTAAGAAAGAATTCAATGCAAATCCTATGGGTCTGTTATAAGTCACACAGACACACACACACACACACACACACACACCAGGTTCAGAGTTAGATGCTTTGTTGAATGGCATGCGACCCGCTTGTTGCAACGTGCCCTATGGATAGCGGTGATCTGTCCGGAAAAAATTACATTACAATTGCTTCACTGCCTCCCCCCAGCACAAAAGCTGACTGTCTATCAGTCATGTAAAAGTTAAATAAGTGCGGATACATTACGATATGCGGCGTTGTCCAACTTTCAGTATGAGGAATGATAGATGATCCAGGAGGACTATTTTGTGTACCTCAGCGCAAGATCAGAAAAAAAAATGCCAGTGGATGCGATTTGGTACTGAAAACAAACGTAACATTATGGTTCGGGATTTTCTGTCCCGGAAATGCTGGTCAAGCGATTATTACTACTAAAAATCGTTGGAACATCATTGAGCGACTTTGTTGTCTTCCGCTAAATACTAAGTCTCTCCCTTTAAGATTTCTTTTTTAGTACAGTTGATCGTTTACGCGTAGTGTAGTGACGATTCAGTGGAGAAATTGCATACTATACGTTGGTTCACCTATTATTTTCAAAGCACTCCTGTTCTCCTGGAGCACAGTATTTTAGGAAGGAGAACTATAAGCCCAAGTGTTAACGATGCATAATAAACCGGTGACAAATCCTATTAGGGCAATTGCCTGAGTGTCAGCGAGAATAAAATAAACTATGAGCTGTCAACGAGCACAATCTCACATGACACAAAGTGTGGTACAAATTCCACACCGCATCAATGCAAATGCCACATCTCTCTCTCACTCACACTCACGTAGAGAGAGAAGAGGCCACGGTCAAACGAACCGAAAAAGTGAGTTAGGTTATTGGGGGGTGAGGATGTGCTTGACAGGACAAGATCTCGCATCGATGAGTACCGGACCGACTTGAACACGTGAATCGCACCGTCAGTTGGCGGCACCAATGTTTGTGTGTGCACCCATGAGTGAGATGGTAGTTGCAGTTGTTGCAGTAGCACTGGTGATACTTTAGATATGCAAATACACCGATTCACATGAACCAAGTTCAATCTACCATGATGCTCAATCCAACAAATGTTTCACAGTTGTGAAACAAAGAAATGTAAAAATAAAGGTGAACAGAAACACTCTATGTACAGCGAAGTAAGGGGTCTTCAGGATATTTATCCGTTGCAAAAACAGTGTGAATCAAAGAAAGAAAGGAACACAGATGTACCAGGAGCGGAGAGTGACGATAATAAATTTGTTCAGCCCATCACTGATAGTCAGAAACAAACTGTTAGTATTTGAGTGGAAAATAATATTGGATACACTGTACCATCAGTGAAAGATTGCATTTTCCAGCATCTTCTCTCTCCGACCGTACCAGTATGGATTTGACTGAACAACAGTTGGTCGAGAATTCGAATGTGCTCAACAAATTGCTCACGTGTTCCGTTTCTCACTGAAACACGTAGTACCTTGGAGGCGGGAATCGATCGCGGAACTCGTGCAGCAAGCAGTTTAAAACCAACCGTGACGTATTCGTTCGATCTGGTGACTATGAAGAATGCTAAGCCACAAAAGATGTGAGGGAATTGATCAAAAACGTTTATAGTGACAGGTGGTGTAAGTGTAACCCCGCTATACAGTTCAGTTTGAACAACAACCAGTGACCGTGTACTTTAATCGTTCAATTTCAATGTGGAGAGTAATGCAAATGCGTATGACCGAGAGGATGAGAAAAATTGAACGTATGAAGATGAGTGAATGTAAAAAGAGTATAGTTTAATAACCCCAGCTTTGGCACGTGGTGTTTACAACTATCATTCAAACGAACTCTGCAGACTTGTAACGGAGTTTATTGTAGCCATGGGGCTCAGTCCATGGACTACATTCTACCGAAATCAAATAGTGAAATGGATTGGTTTTGCATTCTTTCCATGCTAGCCAAGAGGACTCATCAGAGACGTAATATTGGGAATGATACCCTGCACATACATTCAAGACAGTCCCGCCAAATTTCAGCATGGCATACACCAGAAGTAAATTTCACAGGCTTGTCGTCCACTGACAATAAAGTTCACTAGAATCCAGAGCACTTAATTTGTTTCGGTTTAGTGTTTTCAATCAACATCTTTTTATTTAGTATTTTTGCTGGCAGCCCGATTCATTCATCAATGCAATTTGCAGATTTTGTGAGACTTCATTTGCACCATCAAGTGCTCACACAGATCAACTTAACCCGGATTACTCATTTGGATCTGTTGTCCGCTGTTCATTTTACCGGCGATCGATTCGGTGGCAGAACCACGCGGATTTTCGTTGCCTTGACATGTTACAGAGTGACGAATTTCTGTGGTTCACTATTCGATTCTGATTATCACGGTCCCACTCCCCCAGCCCAGACCTCTCGGACGAGAAAACCGCATGCGCATCGAGTCTTACGTAAGACCAAAAAATGAAGTATGTATACAAATCATGTTGAAAAATCTGTTATCATAGCACCGGATTAAACGAAAATTTTAAACTCGTAAAATTAGCCTCCTGAGATTGGCGTGTAACTTCCAATTGGTGTATAAAACGACAGTGTTTAAAAGGAAAACATGTGTTCGGTGATAAGGGTCGCGTGGTCAAAGTCCTTACCCCGGCATGCAGAAATATCTCGGATTTATTGGTCGAGCCTTGTCATCGCCATCCAACTGTGCTAACAGGCAACTGTGTTGCCATATGGTTCAATACATGCCTCCCCATTGTGGCTAGTCCACGAAACAGAGCTGGGGTCACCGCTCCAGAAGGTTCTTGGGACTATGGAGTTCATTTGGTCTCTCATTCATCATTATTCGATCGATATTTCAAACTTGTACTAACAGACACAAGTGTAAAACACTCCCATGGATGCCTGAAAAGGGACCTGTGTTGATCAAAGCTGAACTTAAATAACACCAATGATGATAGAGAACAAAAGACAAACACGACGAGTTTCAGTCAGAATACCGTTCAGTATCTAGTCCAACTAATCGCCTATGCAACAGAAGAGAGATCTCTTATCCGCATGTTTCAGAGACAAAATAATAAGTGTGTATTTGGTGCTTAGTATGCCGAGTTCGATTGGGCGTAAATCAACGTATCGAGGTGGCCGTCAAACCAACCCATAAACACCAGAGTGCAGCAAGTTTTCTTGTCTAGTGGCACTTATCCAATAACAAGATGATATAGAAGATCACCTGAAAAATTTACTGTATACAAAAATCTGCAATGGTCACCATCATTGCCAAAGTCCGAGTAGTAGGTCCACTCAGTTTTCTCATTTTTTTCTAGCCCGTGACAGCTATTTGATCGGTGGCTTCCTGTTTCCAATGAAATGGAAATAAATGAATCACAGAAAGCAGGGCGAAAATAAGGGTTTGCTTTCGAGCTGGGAACGAGATGCTCGTTGCAGTTCACTGTGTCAGCCAAGCCCAAGATGTAATGAACGGCATGGAAAAATCGCATTTGGTTGACGAATCACTCGACAATAAATCTATGCATCACTTATCTTATTCATTAGAACCAGGAGATTCTAAATTTTTCTCACTTAATTACTGGTTAGTTGGATGTTAGTCGACAAAAGATGGAAGAGTTCCCACAAATCAAATTGTCAACAATTTCCCAACTCCAAACACGTGCCATGAGACAAAATAAAAACAATTGTTAGTAAATGTGAAACGAGAGGCAAAAACACCAGTAACAGTAACACAGTAATAGCACAAGGCTAAGATCATCCCGGACAATGGCGTCTGCCCATAGTGGGTTTTGGCTGATTGATCCACGGCACACAGAAAACGGACGGGAGATCCCGGTGCTGGTTAAATTTTTCGTGAATCTCCCCTCTTAAGCACAAACGCCCAAGTGCGAACACAGTGGTAACAGGCAGGTAGGTATGCGTGAATGAAACCCGAATCCCTTTGGCAGTGGGAGTAGATTGAGGGTGCCGCCTCGTTGAACTGGAAATATGGAACAATGAAGCGGATAGGATTCGACGGGAGGAGAATAAATAGGCTCAAAACGCGAGCAAGGAAGCCGGGCAGGGAAGAGAGAACAACCGGATGAACACACGGGATCTCGGAGGTGATTTGACTCACCACCACCAACTCCACCACCAATGTTGCCAGTGCCAAGTAAATTCGTACCGGTAGGGCCAGTTGTATTCATATTATAGAGCTGATCACCTCCGGACGTGCGTGTGCCTCCCTCGATCGGATAGTTATCACGTGACAAGCTGAGTACGGAGCCACTCGGGACCTGATTTAAACCCATTGTGCTGGAATCCGGATACTGTTGATTCACTGCAATCAGAGAAGTTTAAGACGAAGGTGGATGGTATTGGGGAGGGTGATTAGCGTAACAGAAACAATACAAATGATCACAAAATGTTAATTAAAAAATTAGGCGAGCACAAAATTACCTCAAACATTATTAAACTCATTAATCGGCAAAGGATGTGCTTAGGATTAGCTAAACGCGTGACATGAAATAAACAAGAAACTCATAAATAAAAAGAAAGATTATCGGTTAGGAATTCGATTCAAAGCCTACAACTAAGTTACACAGGAATCCAAATAACAATCCCCGAAAGTAGTTTTGCCGAACCACATGACTACTGGTTGAAAATCGCTCAGTGCAAGTAGCGATCCAACATTTGCCTTAAAGCACTCAAAAGAAATATACACACAAACAAATGCAAACAGATATGGCAAAGATATCAAATAACACAATTTGATCCATGTGAATTTTGTTTGGATTCCAAAAGACTGCAAACCTTCTTTCCATAATTTACTTTCTTCAGTTCTGCGCGCTGTTATGAAAATCCTACTATGTTAGGTGTGGTTCAAGGTTTCCTCAGCATTATTATCGAACAGCAAAATACAGTGAAGCAAACTTAACCGATCGCTGCCAAGTTTAGAACGTATATGAATTCAAAATGTCTAAGGCGGAGAGAGAATGAGCTTATTTTGAGGGAGACACAAAGAACGTGAACCTTTATGGTATACACAGTATACAGCACCTAACCGGTCATACACACCTTTTGCGATATTCGGGCCGATAATAAGGGGCAGTAGAAACGCCATTACAGTCGGTTCGCTGCTATATCCCTCAGTGTCTGCAACCAATCAGTTATGGAGTCTTTTGGAGCCTAAACTGGAAGACAGGTAACAACTACTCTATCTAATCGCTCTGTGCAATTCATTAACGACTCGTTACCACACCATTTGTTAAGCTACACATTATTTCCTTTGGTCCGGGGCGACAACCGCGAATAAGACGCGATGTGGCAGTTGACCGTTAAGCATAAATGAAACGTGTCCAAAGTAATCTTTTGAGCTGAATTCGATGCAAAGACGACTTTGTCCTCGATACATTGGCAAACACACAGCGACTTGGCTAAAGGTCACTAACCCACTCATCCCATTCCACCTGCGCTAGATAATGAAAATATCGATTGTTGAAAACGTCTAAGCGGAAGATGTCTTCTACTCATTAATTCATGGTTTCATTACTGTAAACACGCCGAACCGTTTCTATTTCACTGAAGCGTCAAAACATTACCACAGGTGCTGGAGTCTTGTGTATGCTGCCCGAGCTTTGGAAATGCAAGTGATTGATTATCTCCTTCACTGCGCTACCACCGTTGATCATGCAACTGTCTAAGTACAAGAAGCATTCACTTCCTGACCATCTAGTTTCAGAACAGGACTAGTTGACACCCAGTCTTGCAATATCACTTTACACGTGTGGAAGGGAACAGAAGAACTACTCAGTCTATCAAGTGTACCTTGCGCGTCTTTTATATTTTCGAACAGAAAAACGACATCACCGTCGCCGTTTCCTTCTTCCTGAAAATTGCTGTATTGTACATTCGATGAGAGGAGGTAAAACTGAAAACAGAAATACGTTTCGTGAATACACACTATTGGTGCGGGGGTAGAACGGTGAGATTGTGAAATACCTTGGTTGAAACACTCAGCTGCGACAACAGTAAGAAAGTGTGGCTAGATGATTAAAATTCCTCAAGCAATCACTGAACGTTGCAGACACTGCGTTTTTCAGCGTGTTCTATCTAATTGCCTTCATTATTTTAGTCATTTGTTATTTAACCTAATCACTATTATTTTACTTTGAAAAAGATTTTCAAATTTAATCAGATTCCGTAACTGAAAATAAGGGAAATGCACTGTAACCTTTGCACTTTATCTGGCCAATCTTTTGGGTCTAATAGAGATGGAGCAAACAAAAACAGGTAATAAAACACATGAAATGACCCATGAAGTGATCCTAGGTGAGAAAAAACAGCTTCAAACGAGGCGAAACTAGGTGGATTAGCACGTACAAAAAATGGGGAAAACATAATTGGTACTCGAACAGTTTGAATAGGAACGCTCCTGACTGTGAAAAACTAAGTTGATTCAGTCCCATGATGACCACAACCCAAAACAATCAAAGATTTGGTACCACGTGTTTGTGTTGCAGGGCATTCGAAGGGGCCTGTATCTGCGTGGTTTGGGATAATGAGATAGACGGTAATGAACTAACATCATGGGACTTTTCTCTGTTGGTATTAATGACAGTTTGGAATTAGGGGTTTTGCAAGTATTCCCATGTGTATTCTATGTGTTAGTCATATTAGTTCAAAATCACACCATTGTACAGGCCGAATCCAAACAAAGTTATTGGCAACGATCAATCAAGGGAGCCTAATTGTACTTTGTCGTACAGCCGTGAAGGTGTTTAATCTAACACACGTGGTTATTCACTAGTAATTGAAAATAATGGCCACCAAGTTGGAGAAGTGTAACTTGTAACGGACTGGACCTTCCCAAATTCGTGCGCGAGAGAGAACTAGCTCTCAAACAAATCAGGGGATTACAGGCGACGCTTAACTGCTTGTGGGCTACTCTGAAAAAGATCGAGGAGAGATCTGATGACTTCAGAGTCTACTTAGACTTAGGGGATTCATAAAGAAAATGGCAACGGACAATTTCAGCAGATAAACATCAAATTTTTCAATGTTATACATCTAGTTGTCTCATTATGGATTGGAAAATAGAATAGGACTCACTCTTTGAAGAGGATGCCGACAGGACGCTAAAGAATAGAACCGGATGAGAAGTAAGGGGAGTGGGGAGAAAATATAATTATGAATTTATCCAATCATCTGAAGACTAATGAACATAAGACGGATTGAGTTTAATGGAATGTGCTCGTATGAGTGCTGTGGTCCTATCATTGAATCAACCGTTGACTGCACTCAACTATGTAGTTATTGATTAATTGGCCAATACTGACGGCTACCACACAAACGTCTGTTTTACGACAGCTTTGCTCAAGCCAATCAAGATTGAGTATTGAGTTGTCCACACAGAGTAGTTTGTCTCTCGTTTGACCGCAACCCAATAACACTCAGTTGTCAATATTTTGGTTCGCTTGGTTACTTGAGTACCAACGGATCACTCACGTACCAAAGGTATTCCTTTAAGAATTACACGGATTCTTTACCATGTGGGAAACCGACTTGTACAAATATCGGTTTGCTGGCAGATAACGAGCTGGGCAGTGTTCGCAGAGAGCAAGTGAAGGGTCACATGGGCGGCAGCAGTTGAACTAGAACGACGATGAATAAGAAACATTTTGAGATTGATCCGAGAGTCACTTCAATTAGGTTAACCCAGGTAATGCACAAATTGAGCTGCTTTCCAGGCCATGAGAGGTACCATTCATAAGTCTTGTTATAATAATGATAACAATGTGATTATTATTTTATAGTAATGACAGCACCAGCACAACAGAAAGGCAATGATAAACTTTTCACTTTGTGCGACACAAAAATACGCAGTCACCAATCCCGAAGGGGATTTGCGGAGACAGTCAGGAAATATGGAAGCAGCAACTTAAAATGGCGAATCACTCGACAACCAGCAACAATTGGATTACACCAAGATGAATTATTTTTGTATTACATACTTCCGTTTTTTCACACAACTACGCCAATACTTTGTCAGAATTCACAGTTTATAGTATATCAATGGCGGCAATTTAAATCACTGGAACACCACCCACCCAATCCCCATGACAGTCAAGGATTCATACTCGGCAGAGTGAAAACTTGAAGTTTGGAATATCTATAAGCGTTTGCCAAAAACACAAGACGTTGCAACCCACTGATAATTTCGAACAAAGGAGGAACAGCTAAGAACAACCCGGTGAGGCTTCGAAGATCGTGGCGTCGATTCGGAAAATGAATCCCCATTGCGTCATAGATTATACGTGTAGAGTTGAATCAAATGAAACACGATGGNGTAATTCAGGTTGAAAATTAAATTAATAAAAACCCCATCGGACCTCAGAAATGCCGACAACCACAACCATCGTCAGAACAACAATGCAACAAACCGCGAATCGACTTACCTGTGACGACTATCTCCGTAAATTTTCTCTCCACCGGCTTTTTTCGCTGCAGCAATGGTGATGTTATGTGTACTTTTGGACAGTTTGTGTTTTAATTTCTGTGCCAGGCTTCGTTTGCCTGAGCCAAGCATATTGCAAAAAATGGCAAGACAAAGGGAGAAACAAAAATGATGAGTCGTTTAAATGCATATACAATCATATGGAGAGAATCACAGAGATGCGAACAAATGGACGAACTAGTGTTGATAAAAACGTGATGACGGAGTACTTCAATTAACAAATCAACGAACAAATGGAATGTGCGACATCGGGCGTACATCGCCATCTCGTGCGGTTCTTGAATCAATCCATTCATCCACACCCAGATTAACGACTACTTAAGGTGAAAACAAACACAAAATTAATCCAAAATAGGAGGAGGCAGTGAATACTACTGGATAAAAAAATGATATACACAAACGAAAATTGAAGATACGCCTAAGGGACCATTTTCAAACTATGAGTCAAGTATTACTTTTAACTTTAACATTATTTTTTATTGTTCAATTTGTTGTTTGGCAGATTTGAATTTTGTATATCGATTGTGAAAAGTTCAGTTGCCTCGGTGGGATTCGAACCCACGCATGGACGCCGTCTACGTTTGTACGCGCACGCCCCATCAGCTGAGCTACGACGCCACACCGATAGCACCGATCTTTTCACATTCGAATGTACTCATCCAACCTACAGAGGCATGTGGTATGCACCAAATGGCATGTAAGCTGACTGCCCCGACACGTTTTCCTAAGAATTCACCTCACTCCACCGAATGAGTTTCTAAGACAAGGATAATTGTTTCAAATACTGTTTGGCAGATCTGAAGTTTGTATGTCGATTAGGAAAAGTTCAGTATTACTGTCCTAAGAAATCAACTCTTCAAATCTATCAATTCCATCTTCCTCACAACACTAACCGTAGATTTTTCATAACCGTCATTCACGATCGACTGCATCTGTTTGTGTCTGTGTGCTAAGTCCAATGCAGATCTGAGTGCAATCGCTACTAGCAGACAGTAAAAATTTCACGTTGTGATAGGTGAAAATTCAATCATTCGCATCGTAATTTAGGTCCCGGGTGAGACGCTTTGGCTCTTTCTTTCTACTCAGTCTTCCCAAATCCTCATCCCAGTAAACTGAATGGAAGCTCAACAAGACATTTGAAGATACATGCTTCTACCGATATTTTCCGGTTTGAGTTGTTCAGATTTGTTGTAACTGTCGTTAATGAAAAAAATAAATACCGTTTGTTCCAACTACGTTATTCTATCATATAATCCCAAGTGGTAGTTTAAAACAGTTACTACTCAAAAGCGATCACACTGATGGTGAAAGTTGTTTTCAGTCGAGATACGGTGGTGGTGGAGCAGTGGCTTAGTCGCTGCCACAGGCGTGCTTTGGGCCCTATGGTCCGAGGTTCAAGCCCCGCCGCCGCCACCCAACTTTGGTGATAGGCAGCTTTGCTATTATCCGGTCCAATACCACGCCTAACCTATCGGGTCCTTATGTGGTTCGCCACTCCAAGTCCCGAGGCTTAGGTTACCGGTTGCCATCAATGAACAGGTCCTCGTGACTATGGGGTTCACCCCGTCTGCGGGACATCATACTAAAAGTGTGTAATTAAAAAACAGGTCATCCAATAACCAGTGGTTTGTAAATGGTGAGATGCACAATATTTCAAGTCCACACATTATAGAGGAAGGATCAAGTTGGATCAAGAGGTCAAGAACATTAGTTGGCACAATGTATCGGAAGCGGTTTCGATGTGTGCACTTCCATATTCCAGCCAATTAATGGCTTCTACGAATAAGGGAGATCATAAATAGGCAAAAGACAAAGCAGTTCATGCACGCACAGTCACCAAGCTTACCAGTGGAGAACTAATCGAATCAGACACTTATGTTGTTGATATAATTGTGAGTGGTTTGTGTTCCAGAATACTTGAGTGGCTTGGTGCAGGTGTCAGTGTACAAAACCATTTTCTCGAAATCATCATTCATGAGTAATCACATCAGCTAAGCGCTTGACCTCAACAGTTTATCGCTCTTTCATTGTTGTCTCAATCATCGGGATACAAACGGTAACTTCCAAAGGACCACTGCACCCGCCCGCCACCCACCCAAACAAACACGTATGACAAAGTTAGTCGCAATCTCTAGTACAAATCAGGATGTTCAGCTATCAAGATGACAATCAAGTGGTCACGCAAACACGTATTTGGCTCTGGAGTGTAATCAACACAATGTTCACAATGTTCAGTTATTCAGTTGTTACAACCATTAACCATGCACTTCCGTGCGCCGGTTTTGGTTGCCCATTTGGATAAAAGAGCAAAATGTAGA